GGTATCGAAATTAATAAAAACACTCAGACTCATCAAAAAAAAATTTTTGATTGGATGGAATGAATGAAAATTATTCTACCATATCAAATCTAGAATCTTGATTTTTCCTAGAATTTGTGTTACATTTTGATTCATATAAGATTAAACGATGGATCATACCAATCAAATTACTTCTTTATAATATTTAATTTGAAAATAATATTAGTCAAAATAAAAATAAAAAATATTAATCAAAATATCAATGATTCTGTTAAAATTAAATTTTAATACATTAATGGGATAAGCACGATACGTGTTCTTTGTTCAGGTTCGATCAACTTTCTTACTTCATAGTAGCCCTCGACCTCAAGAAAAAAGTTGATATTCTCTCGAGCCTAAAAGCAAAAGGTATTATTCCTAATAATCGCTGTTAAATATATGATTTTGATGATGAAGTCTATTATCATTTGTTTATCTAATATATATGTTAAGATAAGTGTGCAGGATTAACTACAATGGCAGTAAGACATGTAGTAGGTGTTGAGCCGGAGTCAAGACCAAGATCACATTGGGGGTTTGAGAGTTCGTTGGAAGTTCAGATGGTCATCGGAAGTTATGCGGGAACAATCCGAGAAGTCCAGGAGCTTGCCAAAGAAGCTCGTCGTAACTCGCCAAGAGGATTATCGTGAAGTCCAGGAGTTTTCCGGGAGTCTGCCGAAGCATCGCCAAGGGTTCGTCGGATGTTCTCCGGAAGTTCGCTGGAAGCTCGCCGGAAGAAGCGATTGATGCATCGAAACACATTTTGCTATATTAATATCTTAATTGTCATAGTTAGTAGGTAGATTAAGTTAGAATTAGAAGGTGATCCCATTAACTTAATCAGGGGCCAATTGGGCTCTTAATAAACCCAAATTAGGCCGAATGGAATAGCCCATTCGGACCCAGAATTCCTAGCCGGTGGTTGCACTACAGGGCCAGTGGTGGCACCGCCTAAGAGACTCGGTCTCCCACTAGCAACTTGGATGCATCCACTTCTGAAACATCCTTACCCAAGGATTGGAAGTATGTAGATGCATATCCTAAGGAGCTAATCATAGGAGACACATCTAAAGGGGTTCAAACACGTTCTTCTCTTAAAAATGTTTATGTCAACGCCGTTTTTCTTCCAAATTGAACCTAAATGTATTGACGAAGCCATGAAAGATGATTCATGGATTATCGTAATACAAGATGAGTTAAATCAATTTGAGAGAAATGAGGTGTGGAAGCTTGTTCCTAGGCCAAATGACCATTTAGTTATTGATACTAAATGAGTCTTTAGAAACAAGCAAGATGAATCTGGTATCATGGTTAGAAACAAGGCTAGATTAGTGGCCAAAGGTTTCAAAAAGAATGTTTCGATTACGAAGAAACCTTCGCTCCTGTGACTCGATTAGAAGCCATAAGGATGCTCCTTGCCTATGCTAGTAGTAATAATTTTAAGTTGTTTCAAATGGATGGTAAAAGTGCTTTTCTTAATGGCTTTATTTTCGAAGAAGTTTATGTTGAACAACCTCCCGAATTTGAAAATAATAGTCTCCCTAATCATGTGTTTAAATTAACTAAAGCTCTCTATGATCTAAAACAAGCCCCAAAGGCTTGGTATAAGAGACTTAGTTCTTTTCTTATTGAAAATAATTTCTCTAAAGGCAAGGTCGATACTACATTATTTATCAAAAATTTTAAAAATAATTTTCTCATTGTTCAGATTTATGTTGATGATATTATCTTCGGTTCTACAAATGAACCTCTTTGTGAATCTTTTGTTAAAACTATTAGTCTTGAATTTGAAATGAGTTTGATGAGAGAATTAATCTTCTTTTTAAGTTTCTAAATTAAACAACTAAGCAATGGCATCTTTATTAGTCAAACTAAATATACTTTAGATTTGCTAAAAAGATTTAATATAGATGGCTAAAAAACTATCAAAGATTAGTCAAACTAAATACACTTTACATTGATAAGGTTCTTAAAAGATTCAGTAAAGCCAAAATAATTTGTTCTTCACTTGTAGGCCATTTTAAGCTTAGTTCGAGATAATGTCTTACAAGTGAAAAAAAAAAAAAGAAGAAGAAATGTCTAGAGTACCTTAATCATCTACAGTAGGTAGTTTGATATATGCTATGATTTGTACTAAGCCAGATATAGGTCATGCAGCTAGAGTTTTTAGCCGATTTCTCTTTAATCATAGTAAGGAATGTTGGATAGTAGTGAAATAGATATTAAGATATCTAAGAGGTACTTCCAAGTTGTGTTTATGTTTTGGTTATAAAGAACCTGTGCTAAAATGGTACACAAATACAGACATAGTAGGTGATACTGATTCCAAAAAGTCTACTTTGGGATTCTTGATGACGTTTGCAGGGGGAGTAGTCTCTTGGTAGTCTATGTTATATAATTTTGTTGCTCTATCAACCATATAAGCAAAATATATTGTATTTTGCTAAAGCTTACAAGGAAACTTTATGGATGGAAAAGTTTCTATAGGAATTAAATTTAAAATAAGAAGGATCTACTAATTACTATGGTAGTGAAAGTGTCATTTATCTCTTCAAGAATTTAATTTACCATTCTAAATCTAATCATATTGTCATAAGATACTATTGGATTCGTAATGTGCTTGTGATGAAAGAATTATATTTAGAAAAAGTATATATCAATGAGAATGGATCAAACATGTTGACAAAGTCTTTGTCTAAGGAGAAGCTTGAAGTATGTAGGCGAAGAATGAGCTTAGTACAAGCCACAATATGAGCTAGATGAGGAGAATTGTTGGGTCTAGCCTATAGGTGGGTTTGGACAGGACGATTTAGGCATTGAGCTCAAATATGATTTATTAAAAAAATAAAAAAAGAGAAGTAGAGACGTGTGCAGTGTGAGGTGTGCGAACTTAAGGAACAAACCGTGAAAATTATGGCAGCGAAAGAAAAGAGAGATGAGAGAGAAAATAGGGTGTTAAGGTTTTTGCTAGATGATCAAGTAGTTAAACTTATTTAATTTTGATCTAAATTTTATATAGAGAATCCTTGCAACAAGCTTTATAATCCTAGTCGATTTATGATTTGTTCTCTCTTATGTGTTTTTCTGATATACCCACTTGATGATATCTAAATCTTTTCTTTGATGAAATTTATCTATGATGATGATATGTTATTGTTGAGTCAAGATCTGTGTTCTTGATGTTATTATGATTTTTTAATTATTTTATAAAGATTTATTATAAATCTATTATAATTATTGATGATAGTGAAGATTTGAAGTGGATTATAGTCCTGTGATTTTTTTTTATATTAGGTTTTTATATAAAAATTTGATATCTTATTTTGTGATTAATTCATTATTTCACTATCTATACTTCCTTATTAATATTTATTTTGATAATAAATTAGTATTTTGATAAGAACATATTTTGATTAAAAAATCCTATAATAATAATTTTTCTCAACAACAACAGTACATAGTAATGTCAGCGAATAGATAGATTACGTCGCAATATCACACTCGAAACGGTATATTGCATAAGTCTTTTCGGTGAGCAACGTGTGTGATTATGTAGTCAGAGCCAAATAAATAAAACCCCGTATTCATAGGTCACTATTAGGAGCATTTATTATCATCAAAGAAATAGTTTCTAAAGTATGTGGATGTCACGATTCTCCCATGAATTAATCAATCTAGTAAATTTATTTATTCAAAATTTTAAGAGTTTTTTAATAAATGAAACACTCATCTAAGTTCTTACCAGTCGATTCAAATTCTTAATATTTTTTCTTATGCTAAAACCATAAATTTAAATAGATTCAATTTAAATTGAATGTGCATCTAAATCTCACATTCAATAACTTAATACACTAAGTAAAATCACATAATAAAAAATGTCTAAGCCTATGTAAATGACAGGCAATACACTGCGAAGATGTTGCATTATATATTTACCATTATGCCACTTATTATTATTATTTTTTGTTAATTAATCATTAACTAATCATATTTGTTCGAACCCTCAATCTTATATAAGAGGATAAAAATACATCATATTAATGTTTTAGGTATCGATATATTGGATGCAGTCTTAAACCCTTAATCTTTGATAAATTGATCTGTTATGCCATCATTAAAATCATATTTGTTCAACTCTATTATAGTTTAATATGGATATCCATATCTCCACTAAAGCTCATGAGATTTTATTATCATTCAGATTAAAATTTTAACATAAATATAAGATTAAAATAATTTTCATCTAATATTTCATCGACCTTTGTGTAATTTCTCTCTATAACTCGTTTTAAACGTGAGAGGGGATTATAGAGTTTCAAATAGATTGGATAATTTCAACAAAATAATAGTAATAATTATTATTATTATTATGCAAAGTCGTACAATGCATGTCCTGGATCAGTTTCCACGATTTTGTTATATTGCATGACGCCAATTCAATGCAATCATATTTCAGCCTTCAGACAAGAATTGTAAACGTTTTCCTCTCAGTATTGAAGAGACTCCGTACAGCCTAATAAATTATGAACAGTTATAATATTAAGCACTGCACCGGGAAGAAGCCCATCAACTGTGTTTGTCGAAGAATGCGATGAGGCCGTCGTAGACGACCTGCTCGGCATTCACCCCCATCACGAAGTCCAGATGTGCGTACTCGTTCACCAGCTGAGCCACGAGCTTGTCGGCGTCATGGTTGCTGAGATCATTCAACAGCAGCTGCACGTCCTTCACGTCCGACAGCATGTCCCCGCCGCCGTAGCAGAGCATCAGCGGCAGGTGGTGTGGAATGTTGGACATATGGTACTCGGGTGGGCTGCTCTGCCCATACGCAGCCATGTTGGCCGTACTGCTCCCGTAGTCGTATTTTGTTATCACTCCACGTCTGAATGCTGTGAGGGCTCAAAGACAGGTATACATACACTCTCTTGTGAGGAAGAAATCTAAGTAGCTCAAGCATGTGATATTTTAGATTTGTATCAGACGGACTGACTCTGTGAAAAATGGACGAGTGTCCTCACGGATGTAGGCTGGAGTTCATACTTCAAGAACATGTCAACAGTGGAGTCATTGAGGCAGCAGTTTGGCCCTGCATCCAAAGTGAGTGTGTGGGTGTGTGTGCAGAATAAGGAAGGAAAAGCAAATACATATGTAAATTAATTGAAGGCCACAATAATAAATACATATATGATTAAAGTCAAATCAAACTTATGTTGCGGGCGGAATATTATCGGCGGAATAATTTGTGCGTACCTGTTAATGATGCCATAAGGTCGTAGCACTTCACCCCCGGAATAGCGCAGACCAACTCCAAAAACATGGTTCCGACTGCCCTGCTTATCCATTAGGAACACACTTGAATTAGAAAAGCTTTCTTTTATGTCAATGTATGGTCGGTCATGTTGATAAGGCCTCTGACGATTTTGTCAGCACATTTTCTTTTGACAACAACAAGAGGGATATGTTAGTTTATGTACCCTTTAGGATCAAATTCTGCCACTCCAAGCGCTCCCAACATCTGCAAGAAAAAAATCAAGAAAGCTATGACACAGCTCTGGACGTCGGAAAATTAAAGAGGAAGATAATGAATGATGTAACTCCCCTGATGAGAAAAATAGAGTGTTGTGAACTCGTTCTTACTTCTCCTGCGAATGCGGTGGCTGCAGCTCTTCCGATCGGAGTTGTCATGGAAGTCAGATAGGCCACCGGACTCAAAAGGGCAGCTGACTTGATCTTATCCACCAGCTTCCCTTCAGAGAATGCTGATAGAGCTGTCAGAGATCCCTGTAGCATCCAACGTCACTCAGTTGTAGTAGTAGTAGTAGTGGTGGTAGTAGTAGAACATACATACATACAAAGTAATTCAATGTGGAAGGAAGAATGATATGTATTGGCATTAAAGTAATTAAAAGAAAAGTCTCCTACCATGGAGTGACCGACATAGTGCAGCTTCTGCCCAGTTTGCTGGAATACGAAACCCACAGTAGCAGGCAAATCATAGCTGGCCAACTCATCCCATGACCACGCCCAATAAGCCTACCAGACAACAAAAGGATGATGCTAATTATACCAACAACCTGCTCAATACTTCATAATCAGCAACGTAGAGAAGATGACCAACCGTGTCTGATGTATTGAGAGACTCATGGCGACGGCTCCACCTGGTGCCCCTGCCGTGTGTAATCCATACATCGAATCCCTTGTCTGCAAGTACGAAAGCCAGTGATTGTTGAGGTGGATTCAGTAGCCATGTCGTCCCGTCCTGCCATCATTCATCAATCGTCAATCATCATCATCAGAAGAAGAATGACGAAGAAGACAACGTACCGTGCATGCATGCATGCACGGCTACACATGCAGATTGCTTAAGGAAACGTACCGAGAGGACTCCATGTTGGAGCAGCACAGGCTGCCTCTTGCCCGCGCTGCCGCCTCCTCTTCCTTGTGGGATCCTGTGCATGGTCAGTATGTACCCGTCTTGCGTCTTCACCTGCAAGGGATGCAACCAGCTTCAACCATTCATGCCATGCCCGCATCAAATCATCAATCCATCCACGTTTATCTGCACTCCGCTACCTCATATTCTCGGCACTCGTAACCCTGAGGGCTCACCACGGCGGTGCACACCCCATCATCCGCCGCCTCGAGGCTTTGCACCAGCTGCCGTCGTCCGCGAGCTCCAGCCAGCTCGCCCTGGAAGCCCATGGAGAGGACGAAGGCGATGACGAGACGCCAGTTAATGCAACGGAATCCCATGTTGGAGGTAAGCGAAAGGTGAGATCACCTCCTTCACCAAGGATTGGTCTTCTTACGGGGAGAAGGATGAGGAGGAAGTGGATGAAGGATGAGACCTCGTTCATGGCCTTCTTATAGGGCGGAGGAGGAGGAGGAGGAAGGAGATGGCGAGGTTGATCTGTGCAGGCAGTTGAAGGGTGGTGATATGTGATTATCGCTACGTGTTAACAGCTCTTGTTGTTGTCAAAAGAAAATGTGCTGACAAAATCCCTCTTGTTGTTGTCAAAAGAAAATGTGATATTTGATCCTAAAGGGTACATAAACTAACATATCCCTCTTGTTGTTGTCAAAAGAAAATGTGCTGACAAAATCGTCAGAGGCCTTATCAACATGACCGGCCATACATTGACATAAAAGAAAGCTCTTCTAATTCAAGTGTGTTCCTAATGGATAAGCAGGGCAGTCGGAACCATGTTTTTGGAGTTGGTCTGCGCTATGCCGGGGGTGAAGTGCTACGACCTTATGGCATCATTAACAGGTAAGTACAAATTATTCCGCCGATAATATTCCGCCCGCAACATAAGTTTGATTTGACTTTAATCATATATGTATTTATTATTGTGGCCTTCAATTAATTTACATATGTATTTGTTTTTCCTTCCTTATTCTTCACACACACCCACACACTCACTTTGGCTGTAGGGCCAAACTGCTGCCTCAATGACTCCACTGTTGACATGTACTTGAAGTATGAACTCCAGCCTACATCCGTGAGGACACTCGTCCATTTTTCACAGAGTCAGTCCGTCTGATACAAATCTAAAATATCATATACTTGAACTACTTAGATTTCTTCTACACAAGAGAGTGTATGTATACCTGTCTTTGAGCCCTCACAGCATTCAGACGTGGAGTGATAACGAAATACGACCACGGGAGCAGTACGGCCAACATGGCTGCGTATGGGCAGAGCAGCCCACCCGAGTACCATATGTTGAACATTCCACACCACCTGCCGCTGCTGCTCTGCTACGGCTGCGGGGACATCTGTCGGACGTGAAGGACGTGCACCTGCTGTTGAATGATCTCAGCAACCATGACGCCGACAAGCTCGTGGCTCAGCTGGTGAAGGATGACGCACATCTGGACTTCGTGATGGGGGTTAATGCCGAGCTGGTCGTCTACGACGGCCTCATCGCATTCTTCGACAAACACAGTTGACGGGCTTCCTCCCAGTGCAGTGCTTAATATTATAACTATACGCGATTGCTGCTGACTTGACATTCTTTGTGTGCTCTGTTCTGTGGGAGATTCATGTACAAATGGAGGTGAAAGAGAAATAAATCATATATCTCCATATAATAAATCATATTCTGCTCGATCAGTATATTCTGCTCGATCAGTGCTAATGTATTAGACTAATGGATAGATCAATTTGATACCCATTTTAATCTACATGACTATGCCATGAACATGATTCAAAAGCCTGAGAAGAATTTTACCCTATGGGATGTCTCAAAAAAAAGATGAAGGAAGTAACACTACCTACACCATCAAAGGGATCGATTTGTAAAAGAATACACCACTAAGTTCTGACAATAAGTGTGGTGGCAATCAGATTTTCTCTTGATGACCACTCAATAGTGATGAAATACACCATTGACCTCCATGTCTAAATAAACATTAAACCGAGCCTCATCAAAACTTGCTATATCATAATAGCAAGCATGATGATAGTGATGATCGAGAAAAAGAATTGAATAAGAAGAATGTGGAGAATGCAAGAAAGCTAAGAAGAATCTCAAGAGTGGCAAAGCTACTTCTTCTTTAAAACAAAATAATTTGTTTTATGATCACTATAAGATTATAGATCATACACTAGAGAAGTACTAGTAGGATCATCCTAAACTCTTCCTAAAGAAGTGAAAGAAGAATAATCAGAATCGATATAAGACGACTGTTACCGTAGAAGATGATCAAACCAAACTAGCACCCGTTTCACACTTGGAACTGAGTCTATCACTTATGACTAGACCAAATGTTATAGATTTAAATCCAATCCTTGATCCAAAAGTTTGAGGAGAATTATTCACTCTCAAGATCCAAGTAAAACAAGAGATCATCAATGCCATCATTAACACTGAAATCCAAAAGAATTTAATCTTGGTAAGTTAAGTGCAAAAACTTGGACTTGAGATCACTCCTCATCGATAGCCATATCGACTGGATTGGATCCACAAAAATGTCAAAATGAGCATAAATCAATAGTGCATATTCAAAATTATGATCACTAACGAATATATAATGAGATGACATATAAGGTGGTGCCCTATGAGATATGTCAAGATATATTTAGAAGTCTATATTGGTAGGATCGAGAAGCCATCTACTACGATTGGCCCCAACAATATATATTCCTAAAGGATGAAAATATGTTTATTATCAAGAAGGATCAAAGTTAATGGCCAATCGACCTATTCACGATCGCCCAAGCAAAGAGGCCAATGAACATGTGTCAAAAGTTTGTGCTCTTGATCATATGATCAATTATAGTAACAACACAAACATTAGCCTATAAAACCATATAAGATGAAGGCCTACGACGACTCATAAGCAAGTACTTGAAGCTCTTTGAAGAACTCAGCATACTTCCTCCATGGCATGTAGTGGAGTACAAAATCCAACTTATGTCCGATGCCCCTTTGCCGAACCTTAGCATGTACTAGAGTTCGATCATGAAAAGAGAAGAAATCTAAAGATAAGCTGTTGAGCTTATCAAGAGTAGTGTCATTCAGCTAAGAGTAGCTCACCGGTCGTGATGGTTCCAAAGAAAGGAGGTTGGCATTTTTGAATCGACTATCATGTCTTAAACAAAATTACAATAAAGAACTAATACACACTACCATTGATTGATGACTTATTAGACCAACTACAACATGCCATGTTCATGTCAAACCTGAATCTTAAATCAAGATATAATTTAGTTTGAATCCGAGAAGAAAGATACTTACAAAATAATGTTAAAGAAAAGGCAAGAACTATTTGAGAATAATGCATAATGCATTTTATCATTAATAAAGTTTTGGCAAAGGCAAAAGTACTATCGATGGAGATCTGAGCATCCTTGTTAATTCATTCATTTGAAGCGTCTACTGAATAGTGCTCCCGTGATATTTCGATCCTCGTTCGACTGTCAAAATAATATTAAAAAATCTTGATAAAAAGCTTCTAATGATCGACTAGCATCGAATAGTTGGTTCTTAGAAGTGATGATGTCCATTGTCTCTCATAGTTTGCTGCATTGAGATCTTGCAAACCCTATGGCCTATGGCTCAGCAGCTGCGAAGTCCTTGAAAGGCCTGCTTGCACATCTCAAATCATGGTGCTACCACACCATGAATCTATATGGCCAGATAAGAAGCCAGCTTTTATTTAAATAAAAATATATTTAATTTAATCGAAAAATAGATCTATTTTCACTCAAAAAAATATATAAAATAAAATTAGATTGCACACGACTCTGCTGGGGATCGAACCCAGAATCTCTGGTTCCGTAGACCAGCGCCTTATCCATTGGGCCACAGAGTCGTAGATATAGATATTCTTTAAATATAATATAATATCTTATAAAATTTACACGATAACCAATACTTTCACTTTCTTTAAAGATGTTAATAAAAATCCTAAACCAAGCAAATATTTTGCCATTATTTATCGACCTTTAGCTTTTGGTGATGAGGTCTTCTACAATTCTCAACGAATGCTTCCTTTCTCATAGTCAAATAATTGTTATCTTGTATCTATAATATGTTTATGTGTGATATAAAGGTTTGAAACCTCATTAAAAATCTCGTGGAATAATATAACTGAACTTTGTGAAAAGTATTCTTATGATACTATAATAATATGTGATTAAAATAAATGACTTGACATTTCTGTTCTTTGTTGTAAATATACAAAGTAGTTGTTTTATTAAAATTCGCTTTAAAATATTTCTTTATTCTTTACAAGAATACATAAATTTATAGGGAACTGACAGCAAGTTATATCCCTCAATAAAATTAAAGTGGACGAACGAAGTTGTAGTTGAGACTATTAGGTGTTTGATTAAAGAAAAAATAGTACCAAAAGAGTTTTGGGTTGTAGCTATGATTATAATATACTTATTAAACCATTTTCTTATCAATATAATATAAGAAAAAATATCCTATGAAGCGTAATTAGAAAGAAAGACGGATATACGTCGTTTAAAAGAAAGACAGATGTAAATTGCTTAAAGGTATTTGGTTGTATTGCTTATTTTCGTATTCCTATTAAAAAAAAGAAGAACTTGATAATAAAAATATTAAATATTTATTTATAGGGTATAGTAATTAAATACAAGGTTTTAGACTTTATGATCTTATAACTAAGAAATTAATTATAAGTTATAATATTGGTTTTAATGAAGAAGAACTTAAAACCCTAAAGCAATCGAAATTCAATAATGGAGATGAAGTCGATAAGGTACATAATACATAATACCTCAATAGAATCTTCTCATATTTTTAATAATTCTAATTCAAGTTATTCTAATTATACTGAAACACTTCTAAGAAAATTTTGTAGTCTCAGAGATATATCAATATGATGATCTTACATGTTTTACTTTAGAATCTACTTGTTTTGAAGTTGTAGCAGGAAACAAAAATGAGTGAAAGAAATGAATAACAAATTACAAACTACTAAAAACAAATTTTGGAAGCCGGTAAATTTGACCCAGGAAAAGAAGTGATTGAACTAAAGTAGGTGTAAAAGTCAAAATTTAATGCTAGTAACTCGCTATACATGAAGCTTATTTATTTGCCAATGGGTATGCTCAAATTTTAGACTTTTCAAAAATATTTTCTTCGATTAATAGAATTGATACAATTAGAATAGTATTAGCATTGACAACCCAAAAATAATAATAAATTTATCAATTTGATGTTAAATGGAATCGAAAATTGCAAGAAGAGATTTATGTAAAGCAACCTGAAGGATTTAAAATTAAAGAACAAGAAGATAAAATGTATAAATTAGATAAAGTATTATATGGTTTAAAACAAGCATCGAAAGCATAATACGATACAATTGACAAGTACTTTCTTCAATATAAGTTTTAGAAAAGTTTAAATGAACCAACTTATGTATAAAAGCCCAAGGTATGAAAGTTTTTATCATTTGTTTGTATATGGATGATGTGATTTATACTAAAAACTTATCAGATATACTTATTGAATTTCATAAAAGTATGATGTTAGAATTTGAAATGATTAAATTAGCACTGTTACATTCTTTTCTAGGAATGAAAATTATTTAAAATATAAATGAAATCTTTTGGTGCTATGAGAAATATGCTAAAAATTTGTTAAAAAAGTCTTATTGACAACTTGTAAGCCAACTTATGTTAAATGATGGAGTAGATGAGAAACAATATAAAATTTTAATTAGAGGTTTAATTTATCTCATACATTCTAGGGTGGACATTATGTTTGCATTTAATTTGGTATCTAGATTCATGCATAGTCGTAGCATGCATCATTTTGGAGAAACTAAAATAATTCTTGGATACACTAAGAGTATCTTTAATTATGACGTCTATTATGCGCTGGTAAAAAAATTGAAGTTGTATTCTTATATTCATAGTGATTGAACTAATTGCGCAGATGATAGATAAAACAATTCAAGATTTGTGCTCGGCCAAAATGATAGGAAAAAGTTTTGATGAAAGGCTTCGAATCGTTAACTAGTTCGATTCGTCAAAGTTTGGAGCTTCTAGGCCATGCCAAGGAAAACCTCTATAGACACGATCATGTGAGTTGCCATCCCAAAATACCGAAGAGAGACTACGATTATTGAACAACCTTCAGTATTCGAGAGAAGTTCTGACAAAAGAAAATATTGATGGTTGGCCGACAATAGGCAAAGGTGCTATTGTTGGGGATCAAAGCATCCTTGTTGGGTCATTCGTTTCAAGTGTATATCGAGTAGTGTTCTGGCAACACGTCGAGCCTTCTTTTAGCAATAAAATGATAAGAAAAAAGTTTTGATGAAAGGCTTTGAATTGTTAACTAGCTCACCACGGTTTGGACTCAGCCTTTGCTGGGAGCCTTGATCTCGCCTGATTGTCCAAGGTAGTTCCAAATAGCAAATGATCAATGTCCGAAGCGATGTTATATAAAAAATATTTTTAACAAATAAAAAATATTTGGATTCAACTGACATGACATATTTCAAGTCTTTTTTCTAATAACATGGCTGCCACGCGTACGATTGGGTAGGAATATCATCACCCTATCAACAATAAAAAGTTTTGAATAAAAAGAAACTAATGGTTCACTGCTAAAATTAAAGAGTCAAACGTTATCCATTACCAATAGTATTCTTTTATTTTAATTTGGAGGACACAATCTCTTGTGACATTTTCCGTGATCTCAATGTTCTTCTATTATGTTAGCATGAATTTGCCTAATAATATGTTATGCGGGCCTTTATAAACGGCATGTCGTTATGGTGAAGAGTTAAAATTTAGTTCAACTTCTTGTATTGCACACAACAACAATCGATTTTTCAACTTTTGTACAGTTACATGTAGTTGTGAAAGGCCATAACAATAACAAGTAGCGAAGATCACGCATCACCACCCTTCAACTGCCTGCACAGATCACCCTCTCCATTTCCTTCCTCCTCCTCCGCCTCCGCCCTATAAGAAGGCCATGAACGAGGTATCATCCTTCACTTACTTCCTCCTCACTATAAGAAGGCCAATCCTCGGTGAAGGAGGTTATCTCATCCTTGGCTTACCTCCAAATGGGATTCCGTTGCGCTTCTCGTCATCACCTTCGCCCTCTCCATGGGCTTCCATTGCGAGCTGGCTGGAGCTCACGGACGACGGCAGCTGCTGTACAGCCTCGAGGTTGAGGATGACGGCGTGTGCACCGCCGTGGTGAGCCCTCAGGGTTACGAGTGCCAAGAATACGAGGTAGCCGAGTGCAGATAAATGTGGATGGATGTATGATTGATGCGGGCATGGCATGAGTGCTTGAAGCTTGCTGCGTCCCCTGCATGTGAAGACGCAAGATGGGTACATACTGACCATGCACAGGATCCCACAAGGACGAGGAGGCGGCAGCGCGGGGAAGAGGCAGCCTGTGCTGCTCCAACATGGAGTCCTCATGGTACGTTTCCTCGAGCAATCTGCATGTGTTGCCATGCATGCATGCATGCATGCACAGTACGTTGTCGTCTTCGTCATTCTTCTTCTGATGATGATGATTGACGCTTGATGGATGGATGATGGCATGACGGGTTGACATGGCTTCTGAATCCACCTCAACAATCACTGGCTTTCGTACTTGCAGACAACGGATTCGATGTCTGGATCACACACGGCAGGGGCACCAGGTGGAGCCGTCGCCATGAGTCTCTCGATACATCAGACCCGGTTGGTCATCTTCTCTACAATGCTGATTATGAAGTCTTGAGCAGGTTCATCATCCTTTTGTTGTCTCGCAGGCTTATTGGGCGTGGTCATGGGATGAGTTGGCCAGCTTTGATTTGCCTGCCACTGTGGGTTTTGTATTCCAGCAAACTGGGCAGAAGCTGCACTATGTTGGTCACTCCATGGTAGGAGACTTTACGTACTTTAATGCCAAACATATCATTCTTCCTTCCACTTTGAATTACTTTGTATGTATGTTTTGCTACTTACTGCCACCACTAGTACTACAACAACTGAGTGACGTTGGATGCTACAGGGAACTCTGACAGCTCTATCAGCATTCTCTGAGGGGAAGCTGGTGGATAAGATCAAGTCAGCTGCCCTTTTGACTCCGGTGGACTATCTGACTTACATGACAACTCCAATCGGAAGAGCTGCAGCAAGCGCATTCTCAGGAGAAGTAAGAATGAGTTCACAACACTCAATTGATTTTTTCTGTCATCAAGGGAGCTATATCACATTATCCTCTTCTAATTTACCTACCTCCAGAGCTGTGTCATAGCTTTCTTGCTTTTTCTTGCAGATGTTGGGAGCACTTGGAGTGGCAGAATTTGATCCTAAAGGGTACGTAAACTAACATATCCCTCTTGTTGTCAAAAGAAAATGTGCTGACAAAATCATCAGAGGCCTTATCAACATGACCGACCATACATTGAGTGATGTTATCGTTAAAGCTCTTCTAATTCAACTGTGTTCCCTAATGGATAAGCAGGGCAGTTGGAACCAATTATTTGGAGTCCGTCTGCGCTATGCCGGGGGTGAACTGCTACGACCTTATGGCATCATTCACAGGTACGTACAAATTATTCCGCTGATAATATTCCGCCCGCAACATAAGTTTGATTTGACTTTAATCATATATATATTTATTATTGTGGCCTTCAATTAATTTACATATGTATTTGCTTTTCCTTCTTTATTCTGCACACACACCCACACACTCACTTTGGATGTAGGGCCAAACTGCTGCCTCAATGACTCCACTGTTGACATGTACTTGAAGTATGAACTCCAGCCTACATCCGTGAGGACACTCGTCCATTTTACACAGAGTCAGTCAGTCTGATACAAATCTAAAATATCATATACTTGAGCTACTTAGATTTCTTTCTCACAAAAGAGTATGTAAAACTTTCTTTGAGCACTCGCAGCATTCAGACGTGGAGTGATAACAAAATACGACCACGGGAGCAGTATGGTCAACATGGTTGCATATGGGCAGAGCAGCCCACCCGAGTACCACATGCCCAACATTCCACACGACCTGCCGCTGCTTCTCAGCTACGGCGGCGGTGACATGATGTCGGACGTGAAGGACGTGCAGCTGTTGTTGAATGATCTCCGCAACCATGACGCCGACAAGCTCGTGACTCAGCTGGTGAAGGAGTACGCACATCTGGACTTCGTGATGGGGGTGAATGCCAAGCAGGTCGAATACGACGGCCTCATCGCGTTCTTCAACAACCACAGTTGATGGGCTTCTTCCCGGTGCAGTGCTTAATTATAACTATACGCGAATCGAGGAGGACAAATGAGCGATTGCTGTTGACTTGACATTCTTTGTGGACTCTGTGGGAGGACAAAGGAGGACAAATGTACAAAGGGAGGCGAAAGAGAAATATATCTTATATCTAATAAATCTTATGTCTAACCAGTCGAATCACCATCCATACTATATCCCTTTACGACTTTTTCAGCTTCCACTAAGTGGCATCACATCCAATGAGTCATCGTCAATCGAAAGAATATCTACCATAACACAAGTAGATTGGTGATAAATCTGGGTTGATCTCTAGTTGTTGCTACATGTCTTTGGTGCGTGTGGAGGCTGAGGAATGAGTTAGTTTTCCAATAAAAATCGATATTGGTGTATAGTATTTTTTTTATAAAGCTATTTGCTTCGACCCTGGCAAATGACATGGCCAAATTGCTTGATTGTTGTAGGCAAGGTTTAATTCAAAGATAAGTTTCTTAAGATAAGAAATCAAATATGAGTAGCCACCAAACAAGCGAGTAACGATAGTTGACCCTTTCGCATTGAGTTTCACATCAATATACCCTCCTATGATGGCTCGATCAATGCTAATATGTTAGACTAATGGATAGATCAATTTGATACTTATTTTAATCTATATGTTTACAGTAGCGAGGATAGGGTGATGCTTGAGCGACTCATATTGACCAAACATATTCGCGTGGTTGAAATCCGATCTTTGAACCAATAACAATGAAGACATACCATGGACATGATTAAAAAAACTCATACGAGAAGAATTTTATCCTATGGGATATCTCGAAAAAAGTTGCAGGAAGTGGCACCACATACACTAAGAAAGGGATCAATCCATACAAGAATACGCTAATAAGTTCTGACAATAAGTGGTGGCACTCAAAATTTCTCTCGATAACCACTCAACAATGATAAAATACATCGTTGGCCTCCATGCCCAGATAAACATTGAAGTGAGCATCTTCAAAGCTTACTATAACACAACAATAAGCTTGACGGCAGTGACAATCGAGAAAAAGAATTAAACACGTATCAAGAAAAATATGGAGAACGCAAAAGGGAATCACCCGAAAGCCAAGAAGAATCCCAGGAGTGATAAAGCCACATCTTCTTCTAAAAGAAACAATTTGTTTGTGATCACTATAAGATTATAGGTCATATATGAGAGAAGCACTAGAATGATCATTCCAAACTCTTCATGAAGAAGTGAGAAGAATAATCAGAATCGACGTAAGGTGATCGCTATTGTAAGATATGATCAAACCGAACTAGCACATATTTCACACTCGAACCAAATGTTATATACTCAAATCCAACCCTCTAACCAAAATTTTGAGAAGAACTATTCACTCTCAAGATCCAAGTGAAATAGGAGATTATCGATATGATCGTTGATATCAAAATCCAAAAGAATTTTATCTCGATAACTTAGTGCGGAGACTTGGACTCTAGACTACTCCTCGTCTGAAGGCATATCCATTGAGGTGGATCTAGAAAGACATCGAGGTGAGCATAAATCGCTAGTACGTATTCAAAATTATGAGCACCAACAAGTATATTGACGAGGTGACATACGAGATGGTGCCCTTCGACATATGTCAAGTTATCTTTAAGGGTCTATACTAGTGGGATTGGAAGCCATCTACTATCGCTAGCCCCAACAATACATGTTTCTAAAGGATAAAAATAAGTTTATCATCAGATCAAAGTCGATGGCAATTGACTTAGTGATGCCATCCAAGCAAAGAGGATAGTAAACACGTGTCAAAAGTCTGTGCTATTGATCATCCAGTTGGGTATTGTAGCAATACAAACATTAGCCTTAGTATCGGACTATGAAACCATGTAAGATGAAGGCCTACAACAGCTCACAATAAATACTTGAAGCTCTTTGATGAATGCAACATGAACTATCAACCATTAATTAATTAAAAGTTGCATTTCACGCATCAAGATCTCTTCACAAATCATCCTTTGCAATGGGAAGAGTAAGAACGGACTATCAACTACAAAAGTAACAAACCATCATTAACATACTGTAACGTATCACTTATTTAGGGTGCTACAAGGATCTTTTCCCATTTGAGTTTTGTTTGGGAATACATCAACTACCAAAATGAGATAAGCTGACTCTCTCTATTTTGTTTCTCATCAAGCATTCTTAGGGCTCTCACGATCTTCTTGCACGACTAAGCCATACAATTTATCTAACATAGATTTTAAAGCATTTGTTCGAGTTGGTGGTGGATGCATCGGGGCCTGTTTCGATGTAAGATGGCTGACTCATGTCGTACCACTCTAAAATATTCCAAGGATCTCAAAAGAATTATCCTACTTATAACAAAGAATTGCTCATGTTACATATGAACAAGCATTAGCATGTGTATCTCCTAGAGAGAGAGAGATGATTGTCTACACCGACCATCGACTACTTCAAAATCTTTAGGTACAATCCAAACTGTAGAAAGCATGACATATGAAGTGGATGCCATATCCACATTAATTCAGCCCAGTGATCATGTATAAAAAGAGAGTACAAAATAAGCTTGTTGACATGTTATCATGACCCCCGATCACTTGTCATGCATATGCAAGTCATAGCTAGTTATCATGAGGATTATGTAGATATGTACATGGAAGACCTAGAGTTCAAAGATATCATGGAGAAAGTCAAAGCAAGAACCGATATGGAATTCATGCTCCAAGGAGGACTGCTCTACATAGGTGCTTAGATTTGTGTACAAAAGAAAGTAGATAGCATAAATTAGATGCGAGAAGCACACTCATCAAAAGTCTTGGGAAACTTCAGCATTAACAAAACTTTGAAGAACTTGCAATGACGTG